AAAAGTATAACATATTTTGAAAAAGTTGAAAGTTTCCCCATCATGTGCTGAAAAGGCTGAATAGTTTGATATTTGAATGGTTCCTGCAGCTGAAATTAGGCTGAAGGAGTTAAATAAAGATATTAAATATAAGTAGTAGTGAATTAATGTTTACAAACACCTGTGTGTGTAAACCCAGAGATCAAAGGTTACCATGGTGACGACTTATGACGATTTACCAACTGCAGCACTGAGTCCCATTAAGAATGCATTGAGGATTATATCTGACAATTTTGCCACCTGTTCAAAAACTATGGCTCCTATAAAAAAATTATCAGACCGTGAGCATCAGGGAACCCCAATGAACTAATATATGTTGTTTTTTATAGTTTTGTGTGTAAAATGTAGAGATGGGAGCAGTTTGTCTAAAGTGTACTTCTCTCTGTTCTGAAGAAAGTTCCGGAAAGATTTAACATGGGAATCAATTGGGAGCTAGGTGGACTTTTTGTCTCTTCATGCCCTCAAGAGGCATTTTGTTTAATATTTTTTCTTAATTTATTTTTATTTTCCAACCTAGGAGAGGCTTTCCTATGTTTTTCATGAAAAAATATGTCTGAGGAGTGTAGGGTTTGGGAATTATGGCAAGTTTAAAACATTTTTTGGGGAGAATTTGAAGCACTGCTGCACTCTGTTTTGAGATCAAAGCACTCTAGACTTAGGCCTAGGCTCCACGGGAACGAAAACGGGTTGAATCCGCATATTTCTCATGCGTATAGCCCTTTAAGCTAGACGACGCCGTAACGGAAACGTAGAAACAGACAACGGGTCCAAAGGTGGATAGATCTGGGAACGGAGCGCTCTGGGGGGTCCAACGGGGCAGTGTGGTAGCCTATACGGTCATCCGTTTCTGATAATGACGACGCAATAGCCCCGCCTCTCCCCGCCTCTGCTGCTCACCCCCGCAAAAGTACACTGCACACTGAATTCAGATTATTTATCTTTATCTCGATATGGACATAAACGCGAGTGAAGTCTAATCTGACAGGACAGAGACACACAGCTCCTCCCGCTGTGATGCAGCGGGAGCAAAACACACACTTCAAGTCAGATCATCACCCTTAGCTATTTTAATTACCTCTCAAACTACCTAAACTAGTTATAAATATGTTTATTTTTACTGTCGGGTCACTCATTACAGGATCAGCTGCTGCATGAGACAGACACTGACGCTGTCAGAAGAGAGGAAAAAGAGACAGGCTCCGTGTATTTTATGACTATATATCATTATATCGTCGTTATTCATTTGTTTTAAAGCTCAATAAATAACAATGAAGACCTTTGACCGGCACTTTTATAATTTTGTCCGGAAGATTTCAACTTTAACACACGTTGACCGGCGAAAAACTCTGCCCGGTTCCGTCGGCCCCCACTAAGGAGAATAAACAGAAGTGCAGCCATGACAATCATTCTTCTTCGCTGCTTTTGTGGAGGAAGTTGCTGCTTTTGTGGAGGAAGTTACAGCGCCACGTACAGGTTCGGCATATGTACTGCAGCTTTTCCAGCGGTTGGATGTAAACGGAGCCGTCTCGTGGAGCTTGACACAATCCGGTGTATATTGCGTGTGGGCGGAAGCTTTTTTGCGTTTGCGTTACTCCGATGCGTTTTGCCGTATGCGTTCCCGTGGAGCCGGGGCCTTAACGAGCTGCTCCATCCACACTAATGTTAAAATATGAAAAAGGCCTCTCTACCAAGCTCCAAACTAAGTTAAATATCTCAAAAAGTGTAAAAGATATCAAATATCTGAATAAGAATTGAATAGCTGAAGGTGTTGTGATCATTTGAAAGTTGGAATGAAGTGTCTAGCTGAAAGTATGTGGAAGGAGTAGCATTTGGCGCAAGGTGTAGGAAAAGAGGATTTGAAGGCATCTCCCATTGACTTCAATGTTAAAAAAAAAAAGAGTATAAAAAGCTGAATATTTCAAAAAGTATAAAATATTTAAAAAAATGTGAAGGTTTCCCATCGATTCCTGAAATAGTTTAATATTTGAATGGTTTCTGTAGCTGAAAATAAGCTGAAGTTATTTAGAGCCAAAGCATTGGCTGAAATAAGGGGAATAAAGATTTGAAGTACTATAGTGGAATGCTGTGGCACAGCATTCGCACTAATAAGTCTGGCAAAAATAAATGGTTTAAATGATTTATTCAAGCTTGCAATGTTTTGAACACACATCCCCAGCAGTGGCGTTTTCTCCCGGAGGCCAAGGGAAGCCAGGCTTCCCCTGTTTTTTCAGATTGTAGTTATAATTTAAATAAATAAATAAAAACACTTTGTTTTGTTTCGATCATTCTCCTTTGCTGTGTGTTGCTGCCGGCCCGTCTCTCCCCCACTCTCATTGAGTATTTATTACAAAGAGTGAAACAAACAGCACCCCTCTAGATGTTATGGTGAAACAGTAGATTGCATTCACTGTTGCGAGAGGAGGCCAGTCGGATCAGGCTTCCCTTGGTGAAAAAAATTGAGGGATTGACCAATCAGATGAGGCCCACGTGATGCCCCTGCCAACCTGTGATTGGTCAGGGCCATGCCAAGGGAAGCCAGCTAACTCTGGCTTCCCTTCAGAGGCGGCTGGCGATTTCACCTGAATAGATGAGTGTTTATATTTTTTAGTTACTTTTGGACTACGGACTGAGCTAATTACAGAGGCGAGGACTGTTGCTGCACTTGCCGTGTGTTAGAAAGGGAAGGGAAGAGAAGGTGGACTATCGCATGCAAATGTTTCTGTACATAATTGTTTTTGAATTCATGTGTTTCATACACGCCTACTGATACTTTGATGTGTACATAAAACTTTAAAGGTCTCCTGATTTACTTTGTGAATGAATGCTTCTTTTGTATTCATTACCGAATCTGCACTGCCCATTGAGCGGCTGGTATTGCATTTGGGGGGGGGTGTGTCTGCATAAATTAATAAGAAAATGCTTAAATTAATAAAACGAGAGTTTCGGCTGGAGAGTGCGTGCGGACCTGTCGGTTAGATCAGGGGTTCCCAACCTTTATTGTGCCAAGGACCGGTAGATACATTAAAAAAAAATCGCGGACCGGTTGTCAATTTTAACTGATTTTAATATTTACTCACCACCAGCAGGTAGCAACAGAGGCTAATTGTATGTAACAGCCTGAACAAATACTAGAACAATATGCATCCAAAACATATTAACAAAGTTTAAAAAAGAACCGGTGTTGTTTTTTGGTTTTTCGGAAAACCAAAAAACCACGTTATTCAGTTTTTAAACCAAAACGGGAAAACAGATAAATCAACGTTTTGGTTTTGTTTGTATGATTTACGGATAATCCAGTAAATGCTGGGAAAACGAGGAGAAGGCGCATTATGGAGATGTCCGGTCGCCAGGGTGTGTGTGTGTGTGTGTGTGTGTGTGTGTGTGTGTGTGACACTGGCATTTGTTTTCAGAAGATATTATGATAGTGTCGTTCGTTCCGGTGCACTCCCGACAGCATTTAGCACTACATCGAGATTAAGATTAAACTAATTTATTTTGGGAACAGCCGCATATATGCCGGTGTCGGACAGACACAAACACACCGAACACACAGAGCTGAGCTGAGCAGAGCACATACACACACACATCATGCGCCTTGGTGACTGACTGGACATCTCCTTCATAAAACTAATAAAAGGGGGAGTAATCGGGCAGTTCGATGTGTGTAGATGTGTGTGTGGTTAACACGTAGCAGCCTGCAGTCACTCTTAAACTGTTCTGATTAAGTTAAACACAGCGAAGGCAGTGCGTAAAAAGGCACAGCTCTTTACCGAGTATACATCTGCAGCCATGTCATGAAGTGAAGGAGGGTTTCCTTCTATAAAGCAGCTGCGGGCAGCAGATACCGTGAGAGTCCCGGACATTAATTCATAGATCAAGGCAGACTGGTTTACTCTCCTGTTTTGCCAATCCGGTGCTTAAACAAATAGCTCTACACCCCTGGCCGACATGTCCTTAAAATGAAGTCCGAGTTTGAAATATATCTCAAATAATGTATGCACCACCATTTCCCCACATAAACATAACAGTCTGCAATCAAATGGTTGTCTCCTGTGCGCTCCTCTTCCTACTTGGCCCACCGGTAACATGCTCGTGCGCACAAGAGGCTGAGACCTCAGGCTGAGCCGCCGAATCCCTCGGGACATCATAAAAGCCATTTTCAACGGTTTTCTGGTGAAAGATGAACTAGCTACTGGATGAAATAATATGACTGGTGGCATAGGTGCGAAAATTAAACACTTTTTGAAAAAAATATTATGATAAAATATTTTTATATATTTATAATTCTGCAAATATTACGATAAACTCACAGCTATTTCGCGGCCCGGCAGTAACACCTCCGCGGCCCGGTACCGGTCCGCGGACCGGGGGTTGGGAACCCCTGGGTTAGATAACAGGCGTGTGCAAGTCCTGCATCTGTGTGATACAAATGCGTGTAAAATGATATTGACCCCCCCCCCCCCCCCAACAAAATGGGCTTCCCCTAAATTTTTCCCCACGCCACGCTACTACAGTCACCTCATGTGTCTTTTTGTAGTCCTCGCTGTACGCGTCCGGATATCGGCATCGCAACCACAACCTCACACACTGGTACTGAAGTGTTCCTATCCAGACAAATATACCAAAAGATGAATGTAAACGACAGAAGAAGCGATCGAAATGTGTATAGAATATCACCAGTTGTTCGTCCCACAAGTTATTCGGTAACAAAGGTACCATCATTTTGAAGTGCGATATCCAGTGTATATATAAAAGTGTATCCGATGTTTTGATAAAACACTCTGTAGCTCGTTGTCTACATTGCTCTGGTTGGAAAGTAACGTTGTTAGTATTTTTAACGTTTTGTGTATGGGTTATTGATCCGTCTAGTTCAAATGCGTCAGTATCTTTCTTACTTTAACAAACTAATAGCCTACAGTTAGCTTTGCCAAGGTACGTCATGAACCCTGTAAGATACTCACCGAAGACAACAAACACTGCGAGCATCGTAACGCATGACTATCTATCTCATATTACGTTTTACAAACAAAACATATACATTTAACAGATGGCCTACTAGTACTGAAATCCGGAAAGTTCCTGTCACAACCCGATCTGCAGCCCTGCCCTATCTGCAGTGCGCATGTGCGAGATGACAACTACATACGGCAACTCTAATAGGACACTTGACACAGTGGCTTTTGGCAAAGCAGAAAAAGAACCGAGAGAGATGAGTTATTGTTATTACAACATGACTTCACTATTATTTAACAACTCTTTTTATTGGGTTCTTTTATTTGGGGTCAAGTACATTGTCAGAATAAGTGAGAAATGGATTTAACTTCTATTAGACAGCTATATGCCATACATTTTTGCATACATTCACAGTAAATATTTATTCAGTATGATGGCTGTCTAACAGAAGTTAAATCCATTTCTCACTCATTCTGACAATGCACTGAAGAAGAGGAAGAAGCCGACTCTGAGCTGTCCGACTTCAGGCGAGCTTTTTGAGACCTCCCCCGGCTGCGATCGGCTATTGTCGTCTACTTTCCGCTGTATAGAAAACTGTAGTTTCCATAGTTTCCCCACCGCAGCAGGCGCACATTTATGACCTCCGCTGGCGCATCATAAACACGTCGGATAGGGAAAGTGCAGTCGGATTCTCTAAAGTACCGCAGTCTCTTCTCCTAAATCCTTTTGAATTCTCCTATCCACTATCCCTTAACCCCGTGACGTTTCACTCCGAGGTCAAGGAATAGACGATAGGGTTAGAATTTAAGAGCTGTTTTTTTGGAGTATTCGACCGCAACCCCGATCTGCCCCCCTGCCCTATATGCAGTGCGCATGTGCGAGATGGTCCGCCATATTGCACAACTCCGTACGGCAACCCAACTAGGACACTTGACACAGTGGCATTTGGCAAAGCACACAAAGAAAACTCCGAAAACCGAGAGAGATGAGTTATTGTTATTACAACGTGACTTCACTATTATTTAACAACTCTTTTTATTGGGTTCTTTTATTTGGGGTTAAGTACATTGTCAGAATAAGTGAGAAATGGATTTAACTTCTGTTAGACAGCAGTATGGCATATAGCTGTCTAATAGAAGTTAAATCCATTTCTCACTTATTCTGAGCGGACCATCTCGCACATGCGCACTGCAGATAGGGCAGGGCGGCATATCAGGAAGTGACAGTTGTCATTGGGCTTGTTTGAGACGAGCTGCGGCTCGCCTCGAAAGTAGACGACAATAGCCGATCGCAGCCGGGGGAGGTCTCAAAAAGCTCGCCTGAAGTCGGACAACTCGGAGTCGGCTTCTTCCTCTTCCTCTTCTTCTTCTTCTCTCGGTTTTTTGGCGGATTGCAAACAACTTTAAGGTGCATACCGCCACCTCCGGAGTCGGCTTGACTCGGTTTGCATTTATAAAGAATGCACAAATGTGTTTAATCGTTAATGTCAGATATGTACTAAGTAAATACATTTGTTCCTGCTCAAGATTAGATTCAACTTTATTGTTATTGCACAGATTACAGGTACTGAGACAACGAAATGCAGTTTAGCTTCTAACCAGGAGTGCATAAAGCAGTAAAGTGAAAAGTAATGTACACAATCTACAGAATAAAATATAGAATGAATTGAATGATGAAAAAACAGTGAGGGATATGAATACACTATACACAGTAGCCTAGCCTAGTATGAACAGTGTGTTGTATGAATATGCTAAGATATATAAAGTATGACAACGGTAAGCAGTGCAAGTGTAGTATAAAATATATAGATATTAATTTAATGATGATAAACATTGTGGAACAATGATGAAAAATGTGAAAGGAAGTGGCGACGTAAAACTGACAGAAAACACACTTTTGCCGAGCCAATGGAGAGTTTCATCTCCAGCACGGGGTAAAAACCACCAATGAGCGCTCAGCTCGAGATACCAGCGAGTCGTTTCCCATCAAGCATTTCGCTTCCGCAGCCCGTGGAGAGAAACTGCGCCGCCTCGCTCTCAAGTCTGCGGGCGTCTTTGTCCCGCGAGATTTCAACGTCTCATGTAGGCGAGCCTCCAGAGCAAGTCGGACAAAATGACTAACCATCATGCAACGTACTAGCAAGACGTTGATCGCAATTGCGCAGGTCTGCGCAGGTCTCACTTGTCTCAAACAAGCCTGTTGATCGCAATTGCGCAGGTCTGCGCAGGTCTCGCTTGTCTCAAACAAGCCTATTTACTGACATAAACATTTGTATCATCTGTTGTAGACCCAAATAAATAAAAATAAAATAAGAACTCATTCTCAAAAAAGATAAAGGCCATTCTTAAAATGTATAAACGAACAATAGTTTGATTAATATTGATTAGAGTGCGCAATATAAATAAAAATAATTGAGAGAAGAAAAAGATATGTTAACTATCAAAACCCAGTATTAAAGGGCCCATGTCATGCTTTTCCGGTTATTACCCGTCCCCTTGTGTGTTATGAAGGTTTTTATGCATGTAAACGGTGTGCAGAGTCAAAACCCTCAAAGTACACCCTGTAGCGAGTAAAACTCTAACACAGAAAATATCTCCCCAAAACGCCTCGTTGGAGATACGTCACTGCCCATTTGATTCTTCCGGGTACCGCATGATGTCATGCGGTACCCGGAACAAAATGGACCAATCCGGAAGAGCTATGGCCACACCCAGCGGCGCTGGCCGCACCCTCTGCCAGCCTAACATTTACTGTTGGAAGCTCTGGTTCAGTTCACAATCGATCCAGTCATGCCAATGCCAAGGACCTGTTTCCTGAAATGTGAGGAGAAATCTGAGTTGTTTGTCCTACCGACGGAAGAACCACGACGAAGTCAGTGGTTGAAATTTCTTTTTAACACTGTTCCTTCAGAGGTTCGAAGAACGTTATTGTGTGCGCGGCATTTCACAGACGAAAGCTTCCAAAACATTGCCCAGTTTGAGGCCGGATATGCACAGCATTTGAAACTGAAGGACGATGCTATTCCTAGTTTGTTTGGACCGTTTGGAGCAGGGGAAGATTCGGGTACACAACCTGTAAGTTTGCATTGTTATTTGTGTATTTATCAAACAAGGTATCTACCACGACTGTTTAAATGTGTAAACGTGTTTCGGACTGCTAAGCCAGTGCTAACTGTGCTAACTAAGTTGCTAGCGTTTCCATATCAACTCTAATATCAGCAGATGGCCTTACATACATGTATCTCATAGCAGGAGAATGTCTGCATTCACACACGAAATACTCATAGACAGTATACTCCAGGTGATTTACCGTACGGTCAGCCGCGAAACGTAATTACATTATAGCTGGCGTTCCGAGCGTGTATGCTACCGAGCTAAACAACAAGGCTACTAAGAGCTAGACATGAGTTTGCTCGGAAAAACATTGTTTTTATGCCAGCTACAATGAATGTAGCAGACTACCCATATAAGATTGCAATTGTAAACATGTGCTTGATAGCCTAATATGAACCACTATCTGTTGTTCATAGTATAGTATAGCACAGGGGTCGGCAACCTTTTTGATATGAAGTGCCATTAAAAAAAAAAATTGTTAGCAGCGTGCCAACGATCGAGAATGGGGGTGTTGAGGACCTTGACGCTCGTGAACTATCAACAGTAGGGCGGGGGGGCCTCGCTGCGGGGAAGCAGTGTGTGGACCTGTCAGCGCAACTTACATGATACCGAATTTAACAAACACATTTAAATAATTGGTTTAAACGGCATAATAAGAAGGACGATCGTCCGTTCTGTGATTCTCCAGAACACACATGTTATGATATTAGGGTCATGCAGAGTGAGATGAGATCGCTGTCCCTTTAAGAGAGAGAGAGAGGGGTGTGGCGTGTGTGTGTGTGGATGGTAGAGCGAGAGTGAGCGAGCGTGTGTATGTTTCTGGAAGTGAAACGAGGCAGCAGAAAAACAGAGGGCTGTGATGTATTTTGTGAAACAGAAGAACAGCTAAATAAATGCAACGGCCTCCCAAGAAGAGCTCGCCTCTCTCCAGTCATTTATGCTAAAGTGGGTTATTGAACCTGAAGCTTGTTGCTTCTGCCCTCCTCGACTACGGTCTGGGAGCCGACAGGAAAGTTCAACACACAGGTGGCCAGTCCGCCCCTTTGTAGCATATTATTTCAATGAGAGATGAGCAGATCGCCACTGGGCTTTCAACTAAAGACACACACAGCCACGCAAAAACTGTGGCATTTGTAAAGCTCCTTATGGGTACTGCAATTTGTGCTTTCCTCCGTGGTGAAACGATCAGCCCTGCACCACGGAGGAAAGCGGCAGAAAGTCACCTGGAGTTAAAGAGAGTGGGGCTGCGTTGCGTGCATGGCTTCCTTCTGCAGGTAACGGGGAGACGCGCTCTGGCGGCGGTCTCGTTCAGGATCCGAAAATAAAATAAATATTTTGTACACTTATTCCACTTATTCCTAGTGTGCCACTGGTTACGGTGCCGCGTGCCATTGGTGGCACGCGTGCCAGGGGTTGCCGACCCCTGGTATAGCATATTGAACAACTGAACAACTAGCAAACGTAGATTAGCATTATAATCCAGCTGGCAAGCTGACGAACATCAAACAACTAAATTTCAATAATATTTTGTGATTGGCACTTCATTTCGTTAGGAATGTTTCCCAACAAGGTATCTACCACGACTGTTTAAATGTGTAAACGTGTTTCGGACTGCTAAGTCAGTGCTAACTGTGCTAACTAAGTTGCTAGCGTTTCCATATCAACTCTAATATCAGCAGATGGCCTTACATACATGTATCTCATAGCAGGAGAATGTCTGCATTCACACACAAAATACTCATAGACAGTATACTCCAGGTGATTTACCGTACGGTCAGTCGCGAAACGTAATTACATTATAGCTGGCGTTCCGAGCGTGTCTGCTACCGAGCTAAACAACAAGGCTACCAACGGAGCTAGACATGGGTTTGCTCAGGAAAACACTTGACACAGTGCTTACTGGGCTAACGACGTTGCTAGCGTTTAAATATATCAACTACAATGTCAGCAGATGGCCTTACATGTTTGTCATGGCAGGAGAATGTCTGCATTCACACACGGAATACTCATACAGCATACTCCGGGTACATTACAGTTGGCTAGCTAACGAGGCTAGCTATACATG